CGTGCTGCTGAAGGGGGTTAGTGTGAGTCGTTGGATGCTGTGTTTACACCACGCGAGGAACTAGTCAAAGCTGTCGTTACAGTATCAGAGATCTGTTTTTCCTTTGTACTGTTACTTAAAATCTGCTTGTTCCTGTCCCAGCTAGATCTCCAGGTGGTGAAAAAGCAGCGGCAATCTTTGGGAAATGCTGACACGGCGGTGCTGGGCAGACTGCTATGTGCCTCCTAGATCTGTTTCTCCCTGCAGCACTGTCCTGCAGCAGACTTCTTTAGCAGAAAACCTTCAGTTCTGTGGCTGCTTCTGACATGCAGTGGTCTTAACTCCAGGATTAAATCCTACTAAAGAAGTCACAGAATCACAGAATAGTAGGGGTTGGAAGGGACCTCTGTGGGTCACCCAGTCCAACCCTCCTGCCCAAGCAGGGTCACCCAGAGCAGGCTGCACAGGACCTTGTCCAGGCGGGGCTGGAATATCTCCAGAGAAGGAGACTCCACAGCCTCCCTGGGCAGCCTGGGCCAGGGCTCCGTCACCCTCAGAGGGAAGAAGTTCTTCCTCATGTTCAGACGGAACTTCCTGTGCCTCAGTTTGTGCCTCAGTTTGTGCCCATTGCCCACTGGTGTGAGAGAAATCAGGAATCCTTTGTGCTTTTTATTTCATTGGGTAGGTGAAAAGTAGCTGTGGCTGCTCTAAGAGAAGGAAAACATCCTCTGTGGTGGGATGGGTGTGCTTCTGTCCGAAGGAAGCTGTCACTCAAAGCCAGGCTGTGCCACGCTTACGGTGAATCAGCGTGGATGCCGTACGTGCAAAGCAGCGTGTTTCCGTCTGTGTGTGCTAGACTGAGCCCAGTAGGATTCTTAGCGTACGTGGATGCTGGGAGCCGGGCTAGAACCCGCACGCGCCAGCTGCTCAGCGCTGGGCCTGGCAGGCTGTGCGCTGCCGGCCGAGCGGCAAAACCAGCACAACCAGCACGGCATCTTGTCGTCACTGGGCTGGTCTCCGGGAGCCGGGTTCCAAGCGCCGGCATTGAGGTGGGCAGCTTCCAGAGGCGAGTTAGGCTTGGTGGCTGTCACAGGCACGTTGTTGGTGCTCAGCGAGCTGAGCGCCCGGTGAGCAGCGTGAAGGGAGTTCTCCCAGGGAAGCTGGCGTTGCCTGCCTGCCTTACACTGCGTAGTTACTGATCCGTTCATTCAAAATCCAAATCTGGCTGTGGGTTCACTTCGTCTGTAGCCTTAAATCAAAAAGGGGCTTCGAGGAACAGAACAAACCTTGTTCTCCACCTATTTATTTCAGTACTAAAGGAAGATAGAAAATACATAATGCTTCTATTGAATTCTGGATGATTTTGGTTATGTCTTGTAGCTGTTCAGAATCGAGGTATTTGCAATTTATAGTACGTTGTGTGCTGCTGATGGGGAGGTGGAACACAGGGGCAGTGAAAGGGGATGAGATGTTTCTCCTGGTGCGTGCTTAGGGTTAGAATTCAGCTTTTTGCAAGTTCATAAATGTCTGAACTTTGTATTTGCGCACAGGAGCACCCGGTTTTTCAAATAGTGGTACATCTCCCTTGGGATTTAGAAACTCAGCATGAAGTACCATGCAAGGTACATTAAAAGTGTACAATTAATCACTTTTGAAACAAGATGCTAGAGGTTGCCTGCTCTGTACAGCCCGAATGCAAGCTGTCTGCTGTTACAGACTCGTCTGGCTGCACGAAGCCCTGCTATTTCTAATTAAAGGCCGAAGAACATCCAGCTGACCCAGTAATTTGATGTTTGTCTCGAGCATCTCTTAATGCCTTCTAACAATGAAAAAAGATGTATTTCCTTCTCAGACATCATTGCTAGAGTGCCTGCAGGCACGAGCCATGCTGTGCCTGGGCAGTGGTACCTTACGGGTGCTCGCAGCAGAGCTGTGAGCAGCAGGCGTGCTGTTTGTACCTACTCTTGGTGTTCGGACTCTCTCTGTAGGAGGAATGAAGCTATGTACCACCACAATTTTATGCAGTGAAAAATCGACGACGCCTGCGGTTTGTGTTCAGGGCAGTGAGTCGTGCAGGGGGATGCTTACAATGAGGGTGGTGGAACACTGGAACGGGTTGCCCAGAGAGGTGGTGGAGGCCCCATCCCTGGAAACATTCAAGCCCAGGTTGGACGGGGCTCTGAGCACCCTGGTCTCGTTAGCGGTGTCCCTGCTCGCGGCAGGGGGGTTGGACTGGATGACTTCTAGGGGTCCCTTCCAACCCAAAACTTCATACGGTTCTGTGATTCTATGATTGTATGTTGGGATGAACGTGGAGTCGGGTTAGACCGAAAGGCTGGTGTCAGGTGTAAAGTCTGAACATGAAGGAAGAACTTCTTCCCTCTGAGGGTGATGGAGCATTGGAACAGGCTGCCCAGGGAGGTTGTGGAGTCTCCTTCTCTGGAGATATTCAAGACCCGCCTGGACAAGGTCCTGTGCAGCCTGCTGTAGGTGACCCTGCTTGGGCAGGGGGTTGGACTAGATGACCCACAGAGGTCCCTTCCAACCCCTACTATTCTGTGATTCTGTGAAAGTGGTGGCCCTGCTGCCTTGCCTGGAACCACTCGCTGTCCGGGGAAGCGCGAGGACGGTTTGTGTCAGAGGCGTTTTGTGGTGGAGCTTCCAAAGAAAGCAGTGCGAGTGGTGTGGGTTAGAGTCTTCAGTGTCATTACAGACAGCCTGGGGAGCTGATCCCTTCCCTGCCCCTGTCTGTGAATTCTAGCAGTCCGTGCCTACCGTGGCTGTACGCAGAGGGCTGTCCTGGGGCCGTGCCTCGCTGGGCTGCCCGCTGCAGGCCCCCTTGGACAGAGC